TTTTTTTTTTGTCGGTCGTAGGGCTTGAACTCTGGGCTTGGGTGCTGTCCCTCAACTCTTCAGCTCAAGGCGAGCGCTCTACCACTTGAGCCACAACACCACTTCCTGTTTTCTGGTGGTTTATTGGAGATAGGAGTCTCACAGTCTCTCCTGCCCGGGCTGGCTTTGAACCGTGATCCTCAGATCTCAGCCTCCTGAGTAGCTAGGATTACAGGCGTGAGCCACCAGTAAGCGCTTCTTTTCTTGTACAAAGCTTGTGCATTTATGATAAAGGACTGTGTCCTGAGGCTCTTTGAACGCCACCACACCACAGTCTGTCTGGACTCTTTTCCTAACTTGTTCATGTTTCCCTCCTTTGGTTTTGTTTTGTTTTGTTTTTTAAATTTTTTTTTGGTCCGGTCATGGGGCCTGAACTCTGGACCTGGGCGCTGTCCCTCAGCTCTTCAGCTCAAGGCTAGCGCTCTACCACTTGAGCCACAGCCCCACTTCTGGCTTTTTTCTTTTTTCTTATGTGGTGCTGAGGAATCGACCCCAGGGCCTCAGGCATGCAAGGCAAGCGTTGTACCACTGAGCCACCTTCCCAGCCCTTGGTTTTGTTTTTTATGTTGCTCCCATTTTCCATCACAGGATTTAGGAAAGTGCATATGCTAGAGGTCAATGTGGTTTTCAGAATCAATTTTCAAGAGTGTTAGGAAGAATATTAGGAAGAGTCAGAGATAGGAGGATTTTGGCCAAGGCCAACCCAAAATGTAGTGAGATGTCTTAAAACACAAGATGGGGGCTGGGAATGTGGCTTAGTAATAGAGTGCTTTTCTAACATGCACGAAGCCATGGGTTCGATTCCTCAGTACCATGTAAGCAGAAAATGCCGGAAATGGCACTGTGGCTCTAGTGGTAGAGCACTAGCCTTGAGCACAGAGAGGCCCCAGGGGAAAAATGTCTGACTCTGTCTCCAATTAACCAGTAAGAATTCCTGGACTATAAGCATAGTCCAAGTGGTAGAGTGCTAACCATGTGTGGAAAAGCAGACAAAGAGTGTCATGCATTGAGTTCAAATCCCCATACCAACTCAACACCAAAACAAACCAAAAAAAGCCAGGTGAAGTGGTACAGACAGAAAGACTGGAACATGGCTCAAGGCATAGAACACACACCTCGCAAGCGGAGCAGCCAGTTCAGTCCTGAGAACATGGGTGGGTTCTGCTGCTCTCTTTTATTCTCCCAGCCTTGGCCGTCTGGTCTTTGTGTGATGGTCGGGGCGCTGCCAACTCCATCCCTCACACCACGGCAGCTCCTGTGTTGACACCGCGCATGGCAGTCACCCTCTTATGTGTTTTTCTGCAACTCAACCCAAATTATGAACATCCATGACTTAATTTTTTTGTTTTTGTTGGGCGTGGGGCCTGAATTCTGGGCCTGGGTGCTGTCCCTCAGCTCTTCAGCTCAAGGCGAGCACTCTACCACTTGAGCCACAGCACCACTTCCGGCTTTTTCTGCTTATGTGGTGCTGAGGCTTCGAACCCAGGGCCTGATGCATGCAAGGCACCCACTCCATTGCTGAGCCACCTTCCCAGCCCCATCCATCACTTTAAAAGTCCAGTAGTTTGGCACGGCTGTTAGTGAAATAGTGCCACCCTTGCTGCAGGCCCAGGGGGACGTGTACCCTGGTTGTGGTGCCTCACCACACTGGTGCTCAGCCATGACCCTGAACAGTGGTGTGATGTTATCTGGGGAAGTCCAGGAATTGCCCCTTCCAGCTGCACGCTTCCTGTCCCTCTCCTCCTCACAGCTTGTACCCGGCCTAACATCCGCCCTCCCCACGGAGGTGAGCCGACATGTGAAGCTCCTCCTCCTCTCCAGTGCAGCCCCTGAGATGGCTCCGCAAGGTGGGTTGGAGTCAGGCTGTGCCTTCCAGTGGTGCCTCTTGTTCCGCAGGGTGCTGGCCGCCCTGTGTCCCAGAGGCTGTGCACACCCTCGGCTGCCCGGTGTCTCTGCAGCCTCCCCGGCCCACAGCCCCTTCCTGCCCCCACCCCCCAGGCAGGTGGTCTGTGGAATGACACTTAGTCTTGCAAACTTATTTCCCATGTACAACACAGATCAAAAGCACCCGACAGCCCACATCAAGAGTGGGAACTGAAGGCCACTTCCCTCTACTTCCCCCTACCACGTTCCCAGGACAGCTAGACCTAAATCCTGGCACCCCACAGTTGCTGTGGGCTTTCAGTCCCTGCTGAGCTGGTGAGCACCTGGCTTTCCCAAAGCTGATGGCTGCCGTTCCGTTCCCCCATCGGCCTGCCTGCCGTAGCCCCGCACCGCAGGCCCCAGCTCACGGTGCCCCTGCTGCCCTCCCCGGAGGCCTTGCTCTGTCCTCTGTCCCAAGGGGAGCATGTAGGGGCCAGAGCAGGCCCCGGCAGCAGGCTCCCGTCCCCTCTGATCCAGCTCTGTGCTCCCTCCTCTCTTAGCGCTTGGTTCTGGTTTCTGGAAGAGTTCCTTTGTGTTTTTTCCTTTTAATGTTTCTGGTGAATTTTATTTTTAAATCCAGATGCTCTTACGCTTTGAAAATTGCCTCTCTCTCCATACACAGAGCTCTCTCTGCTCTCTCGGGCGGTGTCCGTTTTTAGAGCATCAGAACCAAAGATCTCCAGCTATCCATGTACCAAAAACAGTGCCTGCAAAGACGTCTGCTCCCGGGAGGCCGCTGGCGGCCCTGCAGGGTCACGCACCACACAAGGCCCTTCTGAGGGTGACGTGTGTGCGTGCCCTTATACCTCTCCTCACCTTGTCTCTCTCGTCACCCCATCTGTTGATGGCTGCAGGGCCTGCCAGCACCTTCTGGAGTGAGCCTGGTGATTGATCTGGTGTCCTGGGGACTGGAGGGGAGGGCCGGCACTCCTAACAAGGGAGTGGGGAGTAGAGAGCATTGCTCTGGCTGGGCAGAGGGCAGGAGGGGAGTGGGGGCCTTCGTTCAGCATCAGCTCACCCGGCCTTCCCTGGACCTCCCTCCCAGGGTCCACAGCGGGACCCCTCAGTCTCTACAGAGAGGGCTTCCTGCTCCGACCAGGGGAGGGGAGGCAGGCCTGGCCTGGGGTCTCCCAAGGCGGTGCCATAGTCCACACCATGGCTGGCTCAGGAGGGCCTCAGAGCCACAGTGGTCAGTTGCATGGTTTAGAGAGCACTCTTCCTCACTATGGACAGTGCTGACCGGGTGGCTGTCCCCCTGATGGACAGCGCTGGGCAGGGTGGTGTCCTGATGGACAGCGCTGACCGGGTGGCTGTCCTCCTGATGGACAGCGCTGGGCAGGGTGGTGTCCTGATGGACAGTGCTGACCGGGTGGCTGTCCCCCTGATGGACATCGCTGGGCAGGGTGGTGTCCTGATGGACAGTGCTGACCGGGTGGCTGTCCTCCTGATGGACAGTGCTGACCGGGTGGCTGTCCCCCTGATGGACAGCGCTGGGCAGGGTGGCTGTCCTCCTGATGGACAGTGCTGACCGGGTGGCTGTCCCCCTAATGGACAGCACTGGGCAGGGTGGCTGTCCTGATGGACAGTGCTGATGGACAGTGCTGACAGGGTGGCTGTCCTCCTGATGGACAGCGCTGACCGGTGGCTGTCCTCCTGATGGACAGTGCTGACAGGGTGGCTGTCCTGATGGACAGTGCTGACCGGGTGGCTGTCCTCCTGATGGACAGTGCTGACCGGGTGGCTGTCCTCCTGATGGACAGTGCTGGGCAGGGTGGCTGTCCTGATGGACAGTGCTGACAGGGTGGCTGTCCTCCTGATGGACAGCACTGACCGGGTGGCTGTCCTGATGGACAGTGCTGACAGGGTGGCTGTCCTCCTGATGGACAGCACTGACCGGGTGGCTGTCCTCCTGATGGACAGCGCTGACAGGGTGGCTGTCCTCCTGATGGACAGTGCTGACAGGGTGGCTGTCCTCCTGATGGACAGCACTGACCGGGTGGCTGTCCTCCTGATGGACAGCGCTGACAGGGTGGCTGTCCTCCTGATGGACAGTGCTGACAGGGTGGCTGTCCTCCTGATGGACAGCGCTGGGCAGGGTGGCTTTCCTCCCCCGCCCCGCCCCAGGCCCCGCCCGTGCCCCGCCCCAGGCCCCGCCCGTGCCCCGCCCCAGGCCCCGCCCGTGCCCCGCCCCAGGCCCCGCCCGTGCCCCGCCCCAGGCCCCGCCCTGCCCCGCCCCAGGCCCCGCCCCAGGCCCCGCCCAGCCCGTGCCCTCAACCCCATCCCTGCCCCGGCAGCCTGGAGCAGGGCACTGTCAGCCAAGCAGCGGGCTGGGCTGCCCGCATACCAGCCAGCGGCTGGGAAGAGCCTGACGGGTCAGACAGCCTTCGCACCAGGGCCAGAGGGGAAAGCTTGTGATTGGTGCAAACAGTCATCATTTGCATGGGGCCCACGCGGTGATTGGCGTAGGCACCTTCGCCACGCCCCTGCTGGCTATATAAGCGGGATTCGCAGCTCCCTTCGAGGCGCCTGGTCCAGGCTGGAACCAGGCTGGACGAAGGTCCGGATGCCTGGCCATGACCTTGGTGGAGGACACAGGGAGAGTGTCCTTCGTGCTCCTCCAAATAATTCCGGAGAACAACGCCTCAAGATTCCTTTCATGTTTCTTAATGGAGCCCACCTGCCCCTTGCTTTCTCTTTATTATCTTGGCCACAGGGAACTGCTCCATCTTTGACAACTCTTCCTGCTCACTGATTAAAGGTTGTTCACTTTTATTGTCTGCATTCCCTGAAAATTGTTTAAGGTTAAACTTCTGTCCTATGATTGTCCTGTGATTGCCCGGTGACTACAGACTTACTTTCCATGCCCCTGTACTGTATATAAGCATGTGATAAGTGTGTGATGTTTTAGTAAACTGTCTGTGTCCACCTGTATGGTCCACTCTCTGCCTACCAGGTGCTATGTTCCCAGGTCTCGCTGTGTGAACAGCAATAGTGGAAGAGCTACTCAGTTTCTTTTTGAGTTTGGCACAAGGAACCCAGCTGGCTGATTGGTGGCACCTCCAGTCTATTGTCTATACCCTACTGTATGTCTTTATATCAGACTGATTTTTGTTCCTTTTTCCCCCTCATAACCTCCCTTCCTCCCTTCCATCTGTCCCTCCTGGCTTAGAATCCTAGCAGATTAACACCAACAGACATGTATTCTCTGACCGTCTGAAGCATCACAGAGCATGAGGAGGACATCTGGCCTCTCCTCACTCCAGCAGCCTCGGCCGCCATGGCTGGCTGTGGCCGTGGCACCGCTGCCTTCGCTGTGGGCTCCTCCCTCTCGTACCTGCCACCCTGCCTCTCTCGACACAGAGCTCTCCTCTTCCCTCGGCCTGCTCCCCAGCGTCCGGGCTTGCTCCTTATAAGGACACCAGTCACTGGATTCACATCTACCCGGCCCAGGATGACCACATTTTAGCTTGGTCACATCTACAAAAGTAATTTCCATATTTGGCTAAACCTCCAGGTGCCAGGGATGGAGACATGTCCTTGCCTTTGGAGGGCACGGTTAACCACCACAAGATCGTCCTGGCTTTTTGTTTTTGTTTTGTCTTATACTTCGAGTTCTGACATTTAATCATGACGTATGAAAATTCTCTCCTCTTTTCTTGTCTGTGTGTGTACTCTCCTGCTGCTGCCACTAAGGCTCTACCACCCGAGCCACAGCTCCACTTCGGCCTTCTAGTGATTCATGGGAAGTGAGAGTCTCATAGACTTTCCTGCCTGGGCTGGCTGGAACCACCCTCCTCAGGTCTCAGCCTCCTGAGCATCTAGCAGTTCAGGTGAGACTGCGAGGCTGAGGTGTGGCTGGAGGGTGGGATGCTTGTCTAGCATTTGCTGTGTCTGGCTTTAATCCTGGCACATTATGCTCACACATAGATGGACTCGGGGGCGCGGGGGGGCTCCCAGAGGCTCCCAGGGGGCTCTCTGCCCCCGGGAAGGGCGAAGGGCTCCTACCGCAGCCGGTACTGAGAGGAGCGTACAGTCAGAACTACCACGCCTATCCAACGAACGACCTCAACAGGCTCAAGTCAAAACAACTTTATTATCTCACAGTTTAGGAGGCTGGAAATCAGGAGCAAGATGTCAACAAACTTCTCTGAAACCATTCCTGGCTCTCCAAGCTTTTAGAAACCACCTGCTTGCTGTGGCTCTCCTCTGGCTACAAAACCAGCGGCTTGTCCCCGGCCCAGCGTCTCTTCTCGGACCCTGGCCCTACTGTCTCCCCATTGTAGGGACTTTTGGGCTGACACTAGGACCAATCTCCTAGGCCCTCATCCCCTCCACAAATCCCCTCCTCTTCCGGGGGTTGGGAACATGACCGGATTGTTTTTTTTCAGCACAGCACACTGAGCTTTGCAGGAATGCCAAGATGGGCAGGAAAACCAGGCCAACCGAAGGAAGAAATGATTCCTGCTCCCACTGTTGGGAAATGCCACTGGAAGAGCGACCAGAAGGTCCTGCCACAGGTATAGACCCAAGAAAGACCAGAGAGCAGGGAGAGGGTGTCCGTGAGGAGACTGGACATCCAAAGTATGAGAAAAGGGGCTGGGAGGGTGGCTCGATGGTCGAGTGCTGGCCTAACCTGCAGGAAGAAGCCCTGGGTTCCATTCCTCAAGACCACATACACAGAAAGAGCCATAAGTGGCACTGTGGCTCAAGTGGTGGAGTGCTAGCCTTGAGCAAAAGCAGCTCAGGGACAGCGCCCAGGCCCCAGGCCTGGCAAAGAAGAAAAGAAAAAGAAAAAAGAAAAGAAAAAGAAGAAGTATGAGAAAAGCCAGGCACCCGTGGCTCATGGCTGTAATCCCAGCTACTCAGGAGACTGAGATCTGAGGACCACAGTTCAAAGTCAGCCCAGGCAGGAATGTCAATGAGACTCTTATCTCCAATTAACCTAAGAAAACCAGAAGTGGTGCTGTGGCTCAAGTGGTAGAACGCTAGACTTGAACAAAAAACTCAGGGTCAGTGCCTAGGTCCTGAGTTCAAGCCCCAGGACAGGTGCTTGGGCACACCTGCACACTCATGTGTGCCCACGTGCATGCACGTGCACACACACACACACACACAGAGCACGAGTTAAAAATAAAGTAGCACTGTCACCGTATTGAGTAGCAGATGGCTGGAAGAAGATCACTGAGGTGAAGATTGAGTTCAGAAAGGGATCTCCAGGGGCTGGGAAGTGGCTCAGTGGTAGAGCGCTTGCCTTGCATGCATGAGGCCCTGGGTTCGATTCCTCAGCACCACATAAGCAAAAAGAATAAAAGCCGGAAGTGGCACTGTGGCTCACATGATAGCATTCTAGCCTTGAGCTGAAGAGCTGAGGGACAGCGCCCAGGCCCAGAGTTCAGGTCCCACAACCAGACCCCCCCCCAAAAAAAAAAAAGAAAGAAAAGAAAGGGATCTCCATTGTGGTCCTGGAGAAAACTGTCAAGGAAAAACAGACCTAAATGAGAGAGGCTCAGGCCTGACAGCTGTCCACCAGGAGTTACACACACACACACACACACACACACACACACACACACACACAGGTGTAGCTCAAGGGTAGAATGCTTGTTTAGCATATGTTAGCTCTGGCTTTCTCACACACCACACATACTATATACACCATACACACCACACACTCACACACCATACCACATACTCCAAACACACAGACCACAAACCACAGCATGCACCACTTACAAATAAACACACACATACATCAAGCACACATGGTGTAGTTAGGCACGCATGTACATGTGTGAAATTTTCCCTAGAAGTGAAGAGTGAAACACGCTGAGCACATAAACAGCTCCCAGTCTGGTTTACATGCAAACAGAGTTGGACATACTTCTTATAAGGTCTGCACAGGGACTCCTCCCTCCCTCCTGGCTAAGTCTCCGCCTAGTATCTGTTACCTAGGTAACTGGCAGACCTGGAAGCAGTCACCTCCCCCTCCTGCTAGGTCACATCCTGGGCCACCTGCCTCCCCTCTGACCTTAGGAGGGTCCCAGACCCTGAGGTCACATCCAGATCCAGTGTGGCCACACCCCTTCCTGTCCCTGGTCTGGATCAGTCCTGGACCTGAGGTGGATCCCCTTCCCTCCCCCTTTCCTTCAGCCATGCCTCTCCACTGAGCAGGTGGGTGGGTAGCTGGTGGTGGGTGGGTAGCCGATGTTTTCCTCTTCTGCTACCTAGTAAGAGCCACCTACTTAATGTGCCTTCACCGGAGGGGGAAGGGAGGCAGGAGGAGTTGTGAGTGTGGTTTTGTGCGTGTTTCCCCTTATTTTGTAGCCTGGGCTTTGGCCAGGGCGTTACATTGGTCTGTGTTCTGTGCGGGGAGTCAAGCCCGGGACCCACGCAGGCTGGACCAGTGCGTCCACTGCTGACTCGCACCCCGTGTCCACCGCTGACCCACGTCCACCGCTGACCCGCGCCCTGTGTTCACTGTTGACCCGCGCCCCGTGTCCACTGCTGATCCTTATCCACCGCTGACCAATGTTCACCGCTGACCCGTGCCCCGTGTCCACTGCTGACCCGCCTCCACAGCTGGCCTGCACCCCGCGTCCACCGCCTACCCGTGTCCACCACTGACCCATGTCCACTGCTGACCCGCGCCCTGCATCCACCACTGACCCGTGTCCACCGCTGACCCGCGCCCCGTGTCCACCGCTGACCCGCGTCCACCGCTGACCCGCGCCCTGTGTCCACCGCTGACCCGTGCCCCGCGTCCACTGTTGGCCCGCGTCCACCGCTGACCCGTGCCCCGCATCCACTGTTGACCCGCGTCCACCGCTGACCCGTGCCCCGCATCCACTGTTGACCCGCGTCCACCGCTGACCCGTGCCCCGCGTCCACTGTTGACCCGCGTCCACCGCTGACCCGTGCCCCGCGTCCACTGTTGACCCGCGTCCACCGCTGACCCATGCTTCGCGTCCACTGCTGACCCGCGCATGCCCCGTTTCCACTGCTGACCTGACCCGCGCCCTGTGTTCACCATTGACCTGCGCCCTGCGTCCACCGCTGACCTGCACCCTGCGTCCACTGCTGACCCGCTGCCTGTGTTCACCACTGACCCGCGCCCTGCGCCCACTGCTGACCCACACCCTGCGCCCTGCGTCCACTGCTGACCTGACCCGCGGCCTGCGTCCACTGCTGACCCGCGCCTGCGCCCACCGCTGACCCGTGTCCACTGCTGACCCGTGCCCCGTGTCCACCGTTAACCCGCGCCCTGTGTCCACTGCTGACCAGTGTCCACTGCTGACCCGCGCCGTGTCCACCGCTGACCCATGTCCATTGCTAACCTGAGGCGTGTCCAATGCTGACCCTTGTCCACCGCTGACCCGCGCCGTGTCCAACGCTGACCCGTGTCCATTGCTAACCCGAGCCATGTCCACCGCTGACCCGCGCCCTGCACCCATTGCTGACCTGACCTGAACCCTGTGTCCACTTCTGACCTGACCCGAGCCCTGCGGGGGACCAGGGGCCGGGGCCCGGTGTGGGCCCTGTGCGGGGAGCAGCGGGAGGGTCGGGGGAGGGACAGGGCCGGGGCGGGGGGCCGGGCCCAGCACGGAGGTCAGTGTGGAGAGCCGGTCTATGCTGGACCCTGCCCCGCCCCACCGGTGCCCTCCGAAGAGGCCCCGCCCACGGACCGTAGCCCCGCCCTCGATGTCCCGAGAGGCCCCGCCCACGGACCATAGCCCCACCCTCGATGTCCCGAGAGGCCCCGCCCTGAGGAGGCCCCGCCCACCGCTCTGGCCCGGCCCCGCCCCTCACTGAGGGTCTGGGCCCTGTAAGGCCGCCCGGCCAGGCCTCGCTCCTTCCTGAGCTTCCGCCTGCCAGCGGCGCCCGGGCGGGGACCTTCCCGTGCCCAGGGGCGCCCGTCCTCCCGGGCTGACCCTAGGCCCCGAGGCCATCCCAGGGGCCAGGGCGCCAGCCTGCAGCCTGACCGGCCCGGGGCCAGCGTCCAGGTGCCCCGCGGCCCGCAGGCTGCCATCCCCTGCAGACGGACCTCCGTCCTCCCGAGATCTGGAGGCGTTCTTTGTGCACAAATGCGTAATTTGGAAACAGCATTGTTCTGAGATTTCAGTCAAGACCAGAACCAAACACAACATGGTTTTCTGAATTATAGCAAAAAAAACGGGCACTGAAGGACATTGCGAAGTCAGAAAAACATAACAAGATGCAAGCCTATAAATCTTAGCTGCTCAGGAGGCTGAGATCTGGCAGTTCAAAGCCATTGGGGCAGAAAAATCTGCCAAGCCGGGCGCGGGTGGCTCACGCCTGTCATCCTAGTTACTCAGGAGGCTGAGATCTGAGGATCGTGGTTCAAAGCCAGCCCAGGCAGGAGAGACTGTGAGACTCCTATCTCCAATAAACCACCAGAAAACCGGAAGTGGCGCTGTGGCTCAAGTGGTAGAGCTGAAGAGCTGAGGGACAGCGCCAGGCCCAGAGCTCAGGCCCCAC